TGGCACTGTTAAATGTTTTATGAGGAAGGAAGGAAGGAAGGAAGGAAGGAAGGAAGGGAGGAAGGAAGGAAGGAATGAAGGAAGAAAGGAAGGAAGGGAGGGAGGGGGGTGGAAGGAAGGAAGGTAGGGAAGGAAGGAAGGAAGGGAGGGGGGGGTGGAAGGAAGGAAGAAAGGGAGGGGTGGAAGAAAGGGAGGGAGGGGTGAAAGGAAGGGAGAAAGGGGGGGAGGGGTGGAAGGAAGAGAGGGAGGGGTGGAGGAAGGGAGGGAGGGGTGGATGGAAGGAACGGAGGGATGAGTGGAATGAAGGAAGGAAGGGGTGGGAGGGAGGGGTGGAAGAAATGAAGTGATGGAAGGGAGGGGTGGAAGGAAGGAAGGGAGGGAGGGGTGGAAGGGAGGGAGAGGTGGGTGGACGGAAGGGAGGGAGGGGAATGGAAAGAAGGGAGAGAGGGGTGGAAAGAATGGAGGGAGGGGTGATAGGAAGGGGTGGGTAGAAGGAAGGAAGGAAGGGAGGGGTGTAATGGAGGGGTGGGTGGAAGAAAGGAAGCAAGGGTGTGGAATGGAGGGGTGGAAGGAAGGGAGGGGTGGGTGGGTGGAAGGAAGGGAGTTGGGTGGAAGGGAGGGGTGGAAGGAAGGAAAGAAGGGGTGGCTGGAAGGAAGGGAGGTCAGATTCACATGCTCAATCAGAAGCATCAGAGCTGTCGGCTGCTCTGTGTACAATTTCCTGCCCAAAAAAAGTTACACAGACTGAAGTGTGGGTGGGCACAGGGGGAGGCAGAGCAGATTCAGCCTCTCTCCCCTCTTCTCCTATTGGTGCAGAGGATGGGGGGAGGGTCTGGGCACTGAGGACCACACAGCGGGGGGGGTGCACGAAAGAATGATTGGGGATGTTTGGTGCAACAGTGGGGGCAGTGACAAGCAGCGGTCTTGTATGTCTTTCAATGAAGCAGCTGGAAGCCGCTTTTCCTTCTTTCCCTTCCTCTTTCAGCTGCTTCATTGAAAGCCATACAGGTGATCGGTCCTTGTAATTGTCTCCACCGCTACCCCTCCCACTTACCCCTAGTCCAAGCGCTACTCGCCCCCACCTTATTTCCACTCTCTCAATGCGAGCGGGCGTGTGGAAATTTAGAGGTCTGAGGTAGCTGATGGTCTCTCTGTAGATGACAGCCCCCAGTGTTCCAGCAGTTCCTCCTTCAGAGATCACTCTGAACAGCAGCACTCTGGACAGCTCACCAGACTCGTCAGTGGTGTCAGCGGTCAGCAGCTTCTCCTTCTCCCTTCTCTCTCTCTGTGGCCTAGTCTGGCCCGATCCTCCGGTGTCCCACACAACCTTCTCCTCCACACCTGTTCTTCAGCTCTCACCCCCGCACTTCGTGACCCAAGTTCCCGGGCTTCTGTGTTTATCTGCCTCCACCATCATGCCAGCTCCTCTGGGAAAAGTAGTTTGTTAGCCTGCTGTCAAACAGCAAAGTCCTGCAGTCAGCCTATGAATCCCACAAAGCTTTGCAACAGGGTCTACACAATTGGGCTGCAAGACGCTGCAATCTTGTGTCCATTTAACATCCTGTAAGCAGTATCACAGCACGGTGTTATTTTTGACAATTTCTTTTTAGCTCAGATTTCAATTATAAACTCCGTAAATCCCTTTCCCCTGTGCTGCTGTTCTATTAGTATAAAACCATTATAGCTTTTTTCCCACTCTTCTTAAAGGGTGTTTATTGCGTAAAATGGAACAGAGAATTTTCAGTCAAATTTTATTGTGATTAGTTTAAAATTCAGAATTAATTACATCCTTCTATAATCCTACTAGCTTTCTTAAAGATGCAAAACCCCTACTGTGTGTTCTACCTCTGAAATTTTAGAAAAATAAATGTTTTATTTCTCCTGCAATAGCAAAAAAGCCAAAAAAATATTTTTTTTAACGCAAATTTTTTAAAGAGAACTCTTATGATTAATTACTGCAATGCAAGCAGGCTATATGTGCAGCAATAAATTAGATTTTTTAACATCTTTATTTAAGTGGTAAGTGTTACAGCAAGGGTTACAATACCCAGTGCTGCAGCAATCTGGAAAGTTCTCTCACATAAAACAGCACCACAATTCTCACGCTTTCTGACCACCCACCCCAAATCTACCACTACATGTGTTTTCATTATATTACATGAGTATAAGAAATGATTAAGAAACACTAGATTCATGTGTGACAGCTTCATTCCTGTGCAGTTCTGTGCAGTGCAATTTCAGCCCATTCATTTTGAAATCTCACAATACCACACCGCACCAAAAATAGTGCATGCACTACTTTTGGAAAAGCACTGCAACTATATCGCATAGTACGTTTGTGCTATACAATCCTGTGCGATCTGATGCGGGTGTGAGATGGGAAACAGCTCTCATTGTTTGAACACTGATTGTGTGGAAGTAAATTCATGTTTTGACTGACATTCTGCGGTTTAGCCACAAGATGTCACTGTTTTTCTAACAGCCTCAGACTGCATAGATATTTGTATATTCATGAAGAGGTGGAGTTTTCACACAGAGTTGGAGTGAACAGGAAGAGGAGACTGCAGCCATGTTTTGAACGGTGCTGAATGAAGGGGCCGTGTGAGCTGAGAATCCGATGACTTCCAGGTGTGGGAGCTTCCCTCGGTAACCAGAGCTGCAGCTAAGTGAAGCTGATCGTGTCCAAGACCCTGATCCTGTTCAGAGAAAGGAAGATTGCTGCCAGTAATGCTGATGAGAGCAGAGGAACAATGCAGCATACACTGCAATATTGCGAGCTTGTTGGAGAAACATTTGTTCTGTTTAGAGTCACCAGCGGATGCAAAGCATACCCGGGTCGGTAAGATCTGAAACGCACCTCATTTCAGTGTTGGCGCCTATAGACTGAGTCCAGGCCTATAGTTAGTTAGTTAGGGTCTCTGTTTGTGTCATGCCACAAGTGTTGTTACCAATTATTGGAAGGACTGGGGAATACTGTAGATTTGTGTAAGATTGTAAGCTGTTGTGCTGCACCGCAGGCTAGCCATAGCATACACCCATACACTGATTCCTGCTCTCTTAGGGCAATAAGGTAAGGTGTGGCAGCTTAATTGTACCCGCCAGTAGGTAAATTACTACACATTCTACCTTCATCCATCAGGAGGAGCCGTGCTGTGCAGCGCAAGGGTCTCAGCCTTTGGGCTGGGTGTATGTAAATTTATTGTATGTTCCCAGCATTTGTGGTTGTGTTTACTTGCCACATCTAAGTAAAATTCTGTTGTGGCAAAAGCTGGTGTTGGGGTTGCTTTCCTTTTTTCGTGACTTCACTGTATCCTGGGGAGCCCACCCCGGTACACGGCTTACACGGGCAGACACACTTCATTTGCAACCTGCATTTGGGGTGTCATTAACTTTGCACTGACACCAGCTGCAGATCGCAGGGGCAGCGCAATTGGAATATGGTGCAGGAAACCAGCACGGAACAAGGGTCTCCCTCAGTGCGTTCCAGTGTGAACAGGTCCTAAAGGTATAACGCAATCAGTCTTGCCCCACCAAGTTCCAAAGCTGCAAAAACGTATCATTAATGAGTACAGACATCTTGTAGTGGAATAGGAAAACTACAATGGTTGTCTCTAGTGCACTCCTTTGCACTCATTTGGTCAGCTAAATTGTCATGTTTTGCAAACATGTACTGTGCATTGTTTTTTTTTTCTAACCTTTCGCACTAAGTCAAAATGCATTGTTCCTTGTAGTAGACATACACCACTGGACTTATGTCAAAATAAATCTGAACTGTGGAAAGACCTGAAGCCGATCATTTCCCTATTACTGATGCCTTACTCTGCACTGTGTCTCTGTGTACAGGTAGCCTTGATGAAGGGTTATGGCTTTGCTTCCTTATGCCAAAGCTACCCTTCTGATGACTGAAGGAGGAATAAGCTACATCCCAGCTCCACACACAATTATGGGATGTCTAGTTGGATATTGTATTTCATTATATATTTCCTTGCAGAAAGAATTATACAGAGTCTAGAAAGTAAACGTGCAATTTCTCCATCACTCATCTTCAGACCTGTCTGTCAGGTGCTTGTAATTGTCCTATTGCTTAATGCTCTCTCTTTTTGCTAATTCAGTGAGGATAAAATGGTCTTTACCATACTAAAGGGTTGCCCATTAAAAAGATAAACATTCCACCTGTCCTCACCTGATGCTGAAGCCACAGGATTAACTTTCCACTCCTTTTTCCAATTCCCTGGCTGGCTCCAACCTCTCTAAATATACAGTATATTACCAAAAGTATTGGAATGCCTGCCTTTACATGCACACGAACTTTAATGGCATCTCAATCTTAGTCTGTAGGGTTCAATATTGAGTTGGCCCACCCTTTGCAACTATAACAGCTTCAACTCTTCTGGGAAGGCTGTCCACAAGGTTTAGGGGTGTGTCTATGGGAATGTTTGACCATTCTTCCAGAAGTGCATTTGTGGGGTCAGGTATTGATGTTGGGTGAGAAGGCCTGGCTCACAGTCTCCGCTTTAAAGGTGTTCTATCGGGTTGAGGTCAGGACTCTGTGTAGGCCAGTTAAGTTCCTCCACCCCAAACTCACTCATCTATGTCTTTATGGACCTTGCTTTGTGCACCGGTGTGCAGTCATGTTGGAATAGGACAGGGCCATCACCAAACTGTTCCCACAAAGTTGGGAGCATGAAATTGTCCAAAATGTCTTGTTATGCTGACATCTTAAGAGTTCCCTTAACTGAAACTAAGAGGACAAGACCAACCCCTAAAATACAACTCCACACCATAATCCCCCCTCCACCAAACTTTAAACTTGGAGCAATGCAGTCAGGCAAGTACCATTCTCATTGCAACGGCCAAACCCGGACACATTCATCGGATTGCCAGACAGAGAAGCATGATTTGCCCCTCCAGAGAACACATCTCCACTGCTCTAGAGTCCAGTGGCGGCGTGCTTTACACCACTGCATCCAACGTTTTGCATTGCACTTGGTGATGTAAGGCTTGGATGCAGCTGCTTGGCCATAGAACCCCATTCCATGAAGCTCTCTTTTGTTGTGCTAATCTGAAGGCTACACAAAGTTTGTGAGATCTTTAGCATTTGATTCTGCAGATAGCAACTTCTGTGCACTGTGTGCTAAGCATGAGCTGACCCCGCTTTGTCAATTTAAGTGGCCTTCCACTTCATGGCTGAGTTGCTGTTGCTCCCAGTTGCTTCCACTTTGTTATAATACCACTAGCAGTTGGTCGTGGAATATTTAGTAGCAAGGAAATTTCACAGATGGACTTGTTGCACAGGTGGCAATCTATCACAGTCTCATGTTTGAATTCACTGAGCTTCTGAGTGTGACCCATTCTTTCACAAATATTTGTAGAAGCTATTTGCATGCCTAGGTGCTTGAGTTTATACACCTCTGGTCATGGAGGTGATTGGAACACCTGAATCCTATGATTTGGGGGGGGTGTAACAATACTTTTGGCAATATAGTGTATCACCAGCAGGGATAAGCTAGGGTTTGGGCTTGGGTTTGGATTGAACCTACTTCATGTTTGACTGGGCTTGAAAGTACACTGTCATTACCTGGCCAATGAGCTGCAGTCATTGACCCCCCAGGCAGCTGCACATACACAAAAGCGTTCATGATATCATTGCCCTAATAAGATTATATAGCCATATTAGATCAATCTCAATATTAGGTAAGTGATGTCACAAGCATCTCTACCCATTTTTGTATGGGACAGCTTACTTCCAGGATCAGCCAAACTTGGGTTTGAACTAAATCCAAGCTCATAACTAATCCCCAGACTGGCTGGAAAAGGGTTGCAAAAACCCTGAAGGGAACTAACACCCTATTATAAGCAGTGATAGGCAGAAGTTCTTTTGATGATCTCACACGGAAGATATACATTTTCTACAGAGGTCCCACATCTGTGTTAAGTCAGAGCTAGATCTCCCTATTCAGCAGCAATCATGATCTTTATTGATTGCAAAGCTATCGGTCTGACTCAGCAGATAATGATGTTTTAGGGATTTGTGTGTTTTCTCTTTTGTCTAATTTTCAACCCTGCTGAAGGGGAAGTGCTGAACCTCTAAAACACATTGGCTGTTGTAAAATAAAATCTTTTTAAAGGCCTATACAAGCTGGTGTGGCACTCCTGCCCTTTCAAAACTTTAGTAAACTTATCTGGGGGTACAGCAAGATTCAACAGTTACTAGTGAGCAGAATCTAGGACAGCAAATCACCCATCATGTTATAATCAATCTCCATAAGGTTCAGTGCTCCTACATCAGAAAGATCAGCAGGAGGTGTGTCAGATCTCTGCAGAGGGACAACTGCTTCTACACAGAGAGCAAAGGTTCTTCTTTACAGCTTGCCGGCCAGAGACCAGTATTTCCACTTACAATTTCCAGGGTGTGGCTCCTTTCTAAAGAAATCTTTAAGACTTTGCACACCTTTTGTTTCTATGTATGTTAAACACATTTAGTTTATCTAATCTGAAAGTTGAATCGAGTTTTTAAATGACCCTACAGTTGCAAGAAAAAGTATGTGAACCCCTTGGGATTACGTGGAGTTTTGCATGAATTGGGCATAAAATGTGCTCTGAACGTCATCTAAGTCACAACAATAGAAGAACACAGTCTGCTGAACATAATACTACACAAACATTAGACGTTGCCATGGTTTAATTGCACATAACATGTAAACATTCACAGTGCAGGGAGGAAAAAGTATGTGAACCTTTGGACTTAATAACTGGTTGACCCTCCTTTGGCAGCAATAACCTCAAGCAAACGTTTCCTGTAGTTGCAGATCAGACCTGCACAACGATCTGGAGTAATTTTGGACCACTCCTCTTCACAAAACTGTTTCAGTGTAGCAATATTCTTGGGATGTCTGGTGTGAATCGCTCTCTTAAGGTCAAGCCACAGCATTTCAATCGGGTTGAGGTCAGGACTCTGACTGGGCCACTCCAGAAGGCGTATTCCGTGCTGTTGCAGCCATTGTTTTGTTGAATTACTTGTATGCTTTGGGTCATTGTCCTGTTGCATCACCCATCCTCTGCGGAGCTTCAGTTGGCGGACAGATGGTTGTATGTTTTCCTGCAAAATGTCTTGATAAACTCTGGAATTCATTTTCCCATCAATGACAACAATCCGTCCAGGCCATGAGGCAGCAAAGCAGCCCCAAACCATGATGCTCCCTCCGCCATGTTTTACAGTGGGGATGAGGTTTTGATGTTGGTGTGCTGTGCCTTTTTTTCTTCACACATAGTGTTGTGTGTTCTTCCCAAACAACTCAATCTTGGTTTCATCTGTCCACAGTATATTTTGCCAGTAGTGCTGTGGAACATCCAGGTGCTCTTTTGCAAACTTCAAACGTGCTGCAATATTCTTTTTGGACAGCAATGGCTTCCTCCGTGGTGTCCTCCACATGTATTCCATTCTTGTTTAATGTTTTCCTTATTGTAGATGTGTCAACAAAAATGTTAGCATGTGCCAGAGATTTCTGTAGGTCTTTAGCTGACACTTTGGGATTCTTCTTTACCTCATGCAGCATTCTGCGCTGTGCTCTTGCAGTCATTTTTACAGGACGACCACGCCTAGGGAGAGTAGCAACAGTGCTAAACTTTCTCCATTTGTAGACAGTCTGTCTTACCGTGGACACATGAACATCAAGGCTTTTGGAGATACCTTTGTAACCCTTTCCAGCTTCATGCAAGTCAACAATTCTTGATCGTAGGTCTTCTGAGAGCTCTTTTCTGCGAGGCATGGTTCACATCAGACAGTGCTTCTTGAAACCAGTAAACCCAAAACAGGTGTGTGTTTTTTAAGGGCAGGACAGCTGTCAGCAACACATCCAATATCATCACACTGATTGGAGTCAAGGTTGGCTCACTCCTGGCTCCAATTAGCTCTGGGAGAAGTTAATCTAGGGCCTCACATACTTTTTCCTCCCTGCACTGTGAATGTTTACATGTTATGTGCAATTAAAACCATGGCAACATCTAATGTTTTGTGTAGTATTATGTTCAGCAGACTGTGTTCTTCTATTGTTGTGACTTAGATGACGTTCAGAGCACATTTTATGCCCATTCATGCAAAACTCCACGTAATCCCAAGGGGTTCACATACTTTTTCTTGCAACTGTATATCAGTAAAATAAAAGTAGACCATGGGAAAGCTTGGCCACCACAAGGGGGAGGGGGGAGGGGAAGCCATGGTCTGAATCTCCAGACAAAAAAGATCCAAAAGAAAATGCTTTTGTTAGATGTACGCGATGTGATATAAACACATCCTATCATATTGTTGATGAAGAAATATTCAACTGTATTCAGTTCTTTTCCCATCATATTCCCTTTATTTGGGTACTCCATAACAACAAATCTTTGTGGGCACAGTTGCATATGTGTTATATAACATAAATATACTGTACATGGCAATTATGTCCCTGAATGTTTTGAAATAATTTCTTCCAACCTTGGCTTGTAGCAGCTTGACAGGGCAACTGGATTACATGGCTGGATGGCAGCTCAGTTTCTTGTCAAGGTTGATCAGTTGGAAGAAAATGCTGGCTTGTCATTGAGCAGCAGAATTCATGACAAACATCCTGACTTTAGAGTATTGCGTATTATGTGTAATCCTACTTCCTATCCTTTATACAGATAAAGCTGAACTCCAGGCAAACAGCTTAATACACAGAAGAAATACATAGAAAGGAGCTGTTTTACCTACAAAAGGATTAGTTTTTCTCTCTATTCAGTTCTGAAAGTCATACAAACCTGCAACACCACATAGCTCTGTCTGACAAAGGAATAGATCGAATTTTTCTCTAAGGTTCCAAATTTTGAGGGAAGAAAGGTAGGTCTGAGACCTCAGTGTCACCGAATTGGAAGTGATCAGCATGACAACTTTTAAGCCAGCTCAAAGGCAGATCATGGACTCTCTGTCATACCCCAAAAATTGGACTTCTGTAAATAATTCCCTGTGTCAAACCTTCAGCACTTCTCTCCTGCTTATTCTACCCTCTGCACTTATATCCTGCACATCTTGTCATATTCTCTGCTGTACACAATGCACACCATCATACCTTTATCACTCCTTTCCTACACATGCTGCCTACTATCAAACCCTCTGTACTCATCTCCTGTACACACTACCCATTTTCTTAGCTACCAACTTTTGGACTTGAGAATGAGGGACCCATTTTGGAGATGGCAGCCGGCATAGCGCACCACGGCAAATGTGAGTGTGGTTAAATTTTGCTAAATATTGGGCATGAATTAATAACTGCTCCCATTCCATTTTTATACTACCGCTCTTCCTGTACACACTGCCTCCGCTCTGTACATACTGCCCAAGACCGAGGTTACATCACCAGTGCCTCACTCAACCAGGAAGTGGAAAAATAGTAATAATCATCACTAAATGGAAAAATGTTTGTTTAATGAATGAATGTAAGATGATTCCATATCAGCATGCAAAGTCACATTTATTGAGAAAGAAATGCAAAGCTGTGATTTTTTGTGAAAGGGGAGAAAGGTATACTTTAAAGACTTCCTCTGGATGACATGCTCTTATTATTAGGAGATACTGAGGCTTCCCTGAAAACTGTTAAGTCCACCATATCTGATTTTGGAAAATTCTCAGAGTTTACAATAAATTGGACAATCTGTCTTATTGCCTCTTGACCCAGTAATTAACCCTCAGATTCTGCTCTGTACCAGTGGTAACTTCATTTAAATATCTGGGGATAGTGATTTCACCATGGCCAATAGAATACTGTTGATCTATCATTTTGCCATTGCTTACAAAGTGTAGAGATAAAGTAAAATTGTGGACCAAACTATGGCTCTCTGTTGCAGGGAGAGCAAATCTAGCTAAAACTATATTGATGCCCAAACTGCTATATCTTCTTCACAACTTCCCAGTAGTTATTCCATTGGAAATCTTCACAGTGGTTAATTCCATCTTTCATTCCCTATTTTGGAAGGGGGATAGTGCTAGAATTAAGATTGGAACAATTATAGAAACCTAAAACAGGGGAGGGCTTTCTTTCCCAAACCCATGACTGTACTACCTTGCATCCCAACTCCAGCATATGGTAGAAGGGCTGTTGGAGGACTCAGCAAATGAAAGCGTGGTCCGGGACTCTGTCTTATTCATTATGCTGCTTGTTAGTGGGGCTGACACTCTTTCAGAGGGATTGAAAAGCCATTTTTTCTAAACCTAACAAGAAATACCCAATATATAGGTTCCTGCAAAAAATATGGGTGAAAGCAAAGCAACTGCAAAAAGTCATGGGATAAACCAATTATAGCCCTATCTGGAACAACCATACATACCCTGAACTGGCCAAGCTGGAGCATGCAGTTAAATGGCGAATGTA